GCGCCGCCGCTCGGCCATCGCCCATCATCAAGTTCCCTGGAGATGTCGCCCCCAAAACGGACAAAGAGTTGGCTGTGGTGAGTTGCTCCGCGAGCCTCAAAGAGCCACGTTGAGACAAACTTCGGAGGCGGAGGATGGGGGTCTCCCCACCACACCTCCCTTCGCCCATCCCCGGGGGGAGCACACACCGTGGGGGGAGGGGCTTCAGTAAACAGCAGCTTGGGGTGGGGAGGGAGATGGGGAGGAGTGGTGGCGGGGGTCTTTGGCCAGCTGCAGGAGGGACCTGTTTTGGAAACCGTAGGGGAACTTTGGTAAGTGGAGAAGACCTTCGATAAGCAACTTGGCAAGTTGCAGGACATGGCAGGGAGGGAAGGAAGGGAGGTGCTTTAGCAAACAGCTGGAAAGGCGCTTTTGTAAATAACGGGGACATTGTCTAGTATCTGGGGGACGTGGCGGGGGCGGGGGGTCGGCTTTGTAAACAACTTTTGGACCCGTGAGGGTTGGCTAACAAGGCCAAGCTTTTTGCTAGGCCTTTGGCAAAAGGCCCACAGGGGTCGCTTTTGCAAACAGTGGAGGGTCTTTGTAACCCTCTGCAGCGCCCTCCGAAGGGGGTCCTTTGCCACGCATTTGGGTAAACTCTTGCACACATGAGGTTGGGAGCTGTGGGCCAAGAGGGACTTGGCAAAGATTGGGGAACCTTTGGCACACATCTGGAGAGGGGCCTTGGACAAAGCGCTCGAGGGGACATTTGGGGAAGGAGGAAAGCGGAGAGCGCGTCTTTTTTTTTTTTTTTTTACCTGGCTCAGCGGACAAGTCGACCAGGAGGGTCAAGGGACTAAGGAAAGTTTCCTCGAACTTCTGCAAAGGGGTAGGAAGAAGGGAGAGAGGTGGCCGGCGGGGCGGAGGGAGGGCAGGCGCAGGAGGCCCGGCGCATGGGGCGGGGGCAGAGCAGCCCCGCGGGTGGGACAGTGGCCAGCGAGCCCTCCCTCCTGGCGGGGCTCCAAGCTGCGGCTCAGATGTTGCTCTGTGGGCGCGTGCGCCTGGCTCGAGGGGCGCCCAGGCCGCAGGGTTGCACAAGCGGGGCTGGGGGGCAGCGGAAGGGCGCTACCCCTCACCCTGGCAGCGCCTCGAACTGGTGACCCCTCAAAATGTCCCTTCTAGCTAACAAGACATCTGCTCCGTTATTGCTTTAGCTCCCTAGAAATCCTCTATTCTTCTTCAGCCTGGTCCCCAATCTGCCCAAGACAAGACCCCCTCCTCAGGCTGTGACACCTCTCCCTGCTCCGTTCCTGCATATAAGCCTCTGTCTCCTCTGGATAAATGTTTTTAAGGGGCTACTTTTCTCACGAGTCAGAAGCCGTCTGGCATCGCGGTGTATGTGGCTGCTGGTTGTGGGCCAGCAGGCAGCTTTAGAAAGTTGACAGAGCTACCTGGGTCTGCGCATCTGCCCCAACACCTGGAAGTCGGCCTGGCCCAGAGGCAGAGCAGTGGGAGGCTTGAGAAGCGGGCTCTGGGCTTAGACTACTGGCTTGAAAATCCCTGAGTGCACTAATCAGCTGGCCTAGTGAGCTGAGGCGAGAGACTTAACCGCTCCGGCTCAGCTTCTTCTGCAAACTGAGGATGATAATGGTACCTGTTAAAAGAGAGGTAACCTTAGACACTCTGCAGTGGCACATGGTAAGCACTCGATAGGTATCAGTTATTATTATTATTATTCCCTGTATCTTCCTTTTATTAACCACCCTCCTCCCCACCCCCCCAACAAGGTTAGGGCCCTTTAATAAGGTCTTCTGGCCCCTTTCACTATTTAAATGCAGCACTCATCGCATATTTAATTTCGCATTTATTTCTGGTTCATCAGCCTTCTCACACTGGGATTCGAACCCTAGAGACTTGAAACATCCGTCGTGTTCACCGGTTTATCCTGGCACCAGCACGGAAACATGAGAGGTGTCAAAAAGTATTTGTCGGACAAATAAAAGAGCGAATTGATTGCTGACGCTCTGCAGGGGCCTGTTTGGTTCTGGCCTTAGTTGGGCCGAGCCGCTGCATTGCACTGAAGGATGGGACCGCTTTCTTTTTGGAAACGATCCATTCAGAATTTGAACCCAGGTCTCTCTGCTACTGGAGGCCATGCGCATAGCCCCTGGATCTCTGTATAAGAAAAGCGAGGACAATAATCCTTAGGTCATGAGCGGTTAGGTGGATTAGAAGAGACGATGGTGGTAAAGAAAGGTGGCGGAGAGTTCCAGTTCTGAGCGCGGTTCTGGAGCCACATTGCTTGGGTCCAGACCCAGCTCTGCCATCAGTGAGCTGTGTGATTTTAGGCAACTTTCTTAATCTCTCTGTGCTTTAGTTTATTCCTCCGAACGATGTGGACCGTAATAATAACTCCATCATAGCGTTACCATGAGCGTTAGAGTTCCATGCTGACTTAAGTGCCTGGGTGTATAGTAGGCACCCAACGCACGGTAGCCTTGTTCCCTACAGCTGTTGTGTCACTCAGCTATTGGGCATCAGAGCTGGTTTGGGAACCCAAGACTCCACTCAGTGCCCTCGGGTGCCTGGGTTATGTCCTGGCTGGGCTGTGGGGCTGGGCTGGGCTGGGGACTAGTTACCGCTGCCGGCTCAGGTCAGTATTGCGCCATCCTCACCTGTCTCTGGTGCTCATTCCTTCCAGCAATACCTGAACACTTACTACGGCTGCCCCAAGGAGAGGTGCAACCTGTTCGTGCTGAAGGACACGCTGAAGAAGATGCAGAAGTTCTTCGGGCTGCCCCAGACGGGCGCCCTGGACCAGCGCACCATCGAGACGATGCGGAAGCCGCGCTGCGGTAACCCCGACGTGGCCAACTACAACTTCTTCCCCCGCAAGCCCAAGTGGGACAAGAACCAGATCACGTACAGGTGCCGAGGCGGGGCTGGGGACAGCGGGGCCTCTGGGCTATGGCACACAGGGTCTCCTCGTGCCTCTTCCCACTCTGGGGACCCAGGAGCTGTGTTATGAGGACCTAGCATCTTAAGGAGTTGGTGTACAAAGTTCTTAGGAACCAGAGTCGGACGGACTTGGACTTGAATCTCACACTCGCTAGGTGCGGGGCATTGGGCTACTTATTTTACAGACCCTGAGCCTTGGCTTTCTGATCTCCAAAGTGGGGCTAAAATAAAACCTGCCTCATGGATGGGTTGGGAACTAAGCTGGATCACATATATAAAGGGTTTTCACAGTGTAACAGTGTCATAGATGCTAGTCACTATGATTCCTAGAGGAGGTCCTTGGGTCAGATGGAGGGATTGTGATGATGGGTCGCTGACTGGGTTTATACTATAGACTTGTTATAATTGGTTGCTGATTGGTCTGAGAGTTCTGTTCTGTATGGCTCATGCTGGATTCCAAGGATGAGGGCTCTGGCCTGTGTCCCATGTGCACTATTTATGCTCCTGTGTGTCTTCTCCCCGCCCCAAGCCAGAAGGGAGAGATGAGCGTCCTGAGACAGGGGGCAGGCCGGTCTCCCAGTGAGCTGTGCTCAGCACGCACCCGCGTAGACCTGCACATGCATGCACACTCACGTGCACACACTCCACACCTCTCCCGTGCTTATGCACATACACACACTCTCACATCTGTACACACATACCCCCCGTGCACACATTCATGCACTGACACAGTCGCATATACACACACTCGCACACATGCATACACGCTCACGTGCATTTCTCCCGCCTCCAGGATCATCGGCTACACGCCTGATCTCGATCCCGAGACGGTGGATGACGCCTTCTCTCGTGCCTTCCAAGTCTGGAGTGACGTGACCCCTCTACAGTTTTCTCGTATCCACGATGGAGAGGCCGACATCATGATCAACTTCGGCCGCTGGGGTAGGCAGAACGGGAGTCGGCAGGGGTTCAGTGCAGAGACCGGGCGGAGAGGCGGCGATCTGGCTAATTTAGAGGCACAGGGTCTTGTGGGCAGCTGAGTTAGAGCAAAAGGGGCAGACACTGGAGAGCCACGTGGATGTGAGGACAGACGACGGGACACTGGGTGGTCCCTGGAGGCAGTATAAAACAAAGCGAGTGGTCTTCCTGCGCTGTCCAATGTGGTAGGCCCTAGCAACACAGGGCTACTTACATTTCAATTAATCACAATTAAGTAAAACTTAAAATTCAGTTTCTCAGTCTCATTAGCCATGTCTCATGTGCTCGGTGGTCGTATGGGCCTCGTTGTTTCTGAATCGAACAGCAAAGAAGAAGAGCAGCCCGTGGTCGCAGAAAGCTCTGTGGGGTAACTGGTAGACACCGAGGATCTCTAAGTGTGAGGGTGGGTCGGAAGCAGTGGAGCAGTGTAGACATGACGGTAAATGGAATAGAACCCAGGGTCAGCGGCGTCAAGTGGATTGGTGTGGACGCCAACTGGCAGTAGTGTAGACCTGGAGGTAGGTAGTGTAGACATTGAGGGTAGGATAGTGTTGTAGGTAAATAGCACAGCACAGGAAAGAATGTGGGCACGTGGGTGGGTGGTAGGGACCTGGGTGGACAGTAGGCATGGGGTTAGTGCTGCAGATATCAGTGACAGACTTGAGGGAACATTGTAGATCCTTGGATGGTGACAAACAAACTCTCTACTGACTTGCTGTATCCCCAGTCCTGGATGACTCCAACAGGACAGGGGACAGATGCCAGGTGGGCTAAAGGCCCCAGCTTTGGATGAGGTGTGGCTGGGTTTCAGGGCCCAGATGGGGCAGCTGGAAGCTGAGACCCGGTGTATTTCAGAGCATGGTGATGGGTACCCCTTTGATGGCAAGGACGGACTCTTGGCACACGCCTTTGCCCCGGGTCCTGGTGTTGGGGGAGACTCCCACTTTGATGACGATGAGATGTGGACCTTGGGAGAAGGGCAAGGTAAGAAAGGGACCATCCGCATGCCCAGTTCTCCTCTCCGGTCCTCTGCATGTCTGTCTTCCTATAACCTAGCAACAAGGACTGTGCCTTCCCTGGAAGCCTTGGACACCTCTCCTTGCTCCGATGGGACCAGAGACATAGGGTGGGAGGGGAGTCACATGGTCCTGGTCTCCAAAGAAAGGCCTGGAGAGGTTCACCCACCCTCTGTCGCCCCTCAGTGGTCCGTGTGAAGTACGGGAACGCTGACGGGGAGTTCTGTAAGTTCCCTTTCCTGTTCAACGGCAAGGAGTACACCAGCTGCACCGACTCGGGCCGCAGCGACGGCTTCCTCTGGTGCTCCACCACCTACAACTTCGACAAGGATGGCAAATATGGTTTCTGCCCCCATGAAGGTGAGTCCGTCTGGCTCCAGGCTCCGCACCTCAGCCTGCAGCCTTCCCGGGCTGCCCGCGATCCGCCCCCATCCACGCTCCCCAGGCCTGGCACCCCCCCAACTTCCTTCAAACCCACTGTCCCCCGACCTTCCTTCAAACCCACTGTCCCTCTCACCTGCACAGTTATTTACTCAATGCTTTCATTCAATCGATTCTATTCTAAGGCTCACCGTTAGCATGTTTGTGAAATCACGGGCTTGGGGTGCTAAATATTTTTGTCTAACATACATTGGAATGAATTGAGGACTGTTAAAATGCCCAGTGGTTCTCTCTAGAGCCACCTTCTACCCTCCAGTCAGGATTGGTGGGTGCAAGGACATGAGGAGAGGCTTAGGGGTGAATCAGAAGCCTAGCAGTGCGATTGCGGGGCAGGACTCAGATACCCAGGCTGGAACCCAGCCTGGCTTGGGGATACTGACTCCTGGAATTTCAGCCATTACTCCTGGTTCTGATGCCAACTCTGCTACTGTGTGTGTGTGTCTGTGTGTGTCTGTGTGTGTCTGTGTGTGTCTGTGTGTATTTACACATGGAGACTGTCCCATCTGCTTCTCTTGGTCTCTCTTCGCTTGTGTCTGCACCTCTGTGTCTTGGCAAAGGCCTTAGGCATGACTTAGTATTTGTGTGCATGTGTTTGTCAATGCTTGAGACATAAAATTTTCGGATGTTTTAAAGCCATGTACGGGGAAATTTTTTTAAGGGGGATGGGCATAGACATACACACTCAATCCTTTTAAAAGTATCCTTCTTAATCAGACTTCTTAATCAGAAATCATGAAATGATGGTGTGTATAACTTCGTATTTGGTCAGGTCGTCATATCTGGTGATGCTGGAGACTGAGAGCTCAGAACATTTTGGGGGAAAAGGGAGAACATGCAGACATTTTTCTAAATACTTCTTTCTCCCCATCCCATAAAGACTCCTTGAGCTATATACGCCTCTGTCTTTCGGGCTATAATTTTACACGTTCGCGACTCTCTCTGGCTCCAGTGCAACTGAACACTGACCACCGGCCATCTTGACGAAGGAAAGGGACCAATGGCGAGTTACTTGTGTTTCTGTTTATGCTTCTCGTGCCAAAGCTCATGTGATGCTTTGCATGAAGTATGCGTTCAAGCCGTGGACCATGAATAAGTCAGAAGTTTTAAGCAGGAATATTTTACGTACATTGCATTTCCCAGGAGGGATTCAGGGGGCGTTAACCCTCCCGCGTGTCAGCCCTTGTGATTAGAACAGAATGCCTCGGTGATAGGAGTGGAAACAGCTGTAATTCATAAGTTTGGGAAGGGTTTTTCCCTACCTTGGACATCAGCCATGTCTTTGGTCTGTAGCCAGATGTGAGGACGCACACACACACGAGTTTGGGTCTCGGGGCAGAGGTTCTGGTTACTCAGCCCCTCCTGACTGCTGAGTCAATGTCTGCTCCTCTTCATCCTTGTTGGGGGCAGGCTCTGAAAGGACGTGGGGGCTTCCTGTGAGGTAGAAGTGCGGCTCATGGGAGGCCACATGGGGAGGCTGGCCTCCGGGGGAGGTTAACACTTTGTCTCCACCTGCTTGGTGATCACCAAGGCCTCTGGCCTCAGTTCGGCCTCTTCCCCGCATCTTGTTGTTTCTGGCGTTGCAGAAGATCTCTAGATTGGGGAGAGGGGAGCAGTGAGGATAAGGGGGCCCAGGTCCCGTAATGGGGGGCCAGGGCCTGGGTTCCGTTCTGGTCATGGGGGAGTTAACGGGCTGGTGAGGTCACCTCTGGCGCTGCTGTGCACAGATGGTCTTTGTTACGCACTTGTGGTTTTGCTAGTTGGCAATTCCAGAAACATACCATTTTGTAGCTTCAGGGTAGTTGAGGGCATGGGGAGCAGGCGGAGAACCCACGATAGACAAGCCCAGACTCTGAATCCCACTCTCTCCCCAAATCCTCCAGTCATGGTTCCTGTCTTGGGGAGATCAGAATGGGAGCCTGGGGTGTGTAATAAAAGGTTTCCAAAGGCACCTCCTCCACCCCTCTCCCCTCCTCCTCCTGCTGAGACCACAGCAGAGCCATCCAGGAAAGCGTCTGGGGTTGAACAGAGGTGAAGCTGGGTGTGTGTGCGCGTGTGCGGGCAGGCGCGCGTGACAGTGAGCAATAGAGAGATTGAGATTGGCCTGTTTTGTAGTTTTCAGGTGCACCCCCTCATTTAGTTCTCTTAGTTATGTGCCCGCGAGCAGTCCTAGAACCAGCTCTCTCAGTGCCTCAGTTTCCCCGTCCATCAAACGGAGAGACTCTTGCCATCCTGGATGATATCTTTAGCGATCCGCACAGTGTGGGTGTAGACCAGGCAGAGTGGACAGTGACCTCGGGGCCGCGGCAGGGTTCTGGAGGCCCCCAGCTGTGTGCCATGTGTTTACCATGTCATCGTGGGTGGGAGGGAGTCCATAAGTTCCCAGAGGAAGGATGGTGTTGGCCAGGAAGCCAGGCCTGGTCCCCAGGAGCTCAGAGAATCAGCAATTTACCAAGCAGTATAGATTATTTTTACTATTTGAACAATGCTACAGCCTCCCTGGTGTGAACCGGCAGGTTGGTAGCCAGCCAGCCGTGCGCCCAGCCGACTTTCGGGCGGGCAGGTGGGTGGCCCCTCTCACATTCACAACCCCCCCTCTCTCCGCACCCCCAGCCCTGCTCACCCTAGGTGGCAATGCCGACGGACAGCCCTGCAAGTTCCCGTTCCGTTTCCAGGGCACCAGCTACAACAGCTGCACCACCGAGGGCCGCACGGACGGCTACCGCTGGTGCAGCACCACGGAGGACTACGACCGCGACAAGAAGTACGGCTTCTGCCCGGAGACCGGTGGGTGTCGCCGCCGCCCCCGCCCCTCGGGGCCGGGCCCCTGCCTTCTGATGGGAAACACACAAGAGCCCCCACGCTCCTTTCCCCGAGATGGGGGACAGGGTCCCAGTCAGAATACCTAGCAGCAGGTAGAGCAGAGGCACCGAAATCAGAACAGACGTTGGCCACCAACAGCCAGTTAGCAAAATCGGTGACGCTTAGTGTCAGGCCCGCCCGGGACCGTCTCCGAATGACCCACAGTCTCTCAGCCTCCCTGACAACTACCTCTCTCCCTCTGTTTGATCTCGAAGTCTCGTCCCTGCCTTTCGCTCTCCGTAAGGACTCTTCTGCCTGTCTTCCTCCTTCTTTCCATCCTTCCTCCTCCCCGTCCTCCCGCAGGTATTTACTGAGCACCCGCTTTTCGCCGGAGACACAGATAGGTCTCCGTAGGACCCTGAGTGATGGAGCTCAGGTCTCGGGAAGTGCGTGGGCACCACCGGCTCTGCCCAGTTCCCTTTGCCTGTGGCGCCTCCGCCCCCACCCGTGGGAGGCCAGCGAGAGCTGTGGGTTTGACACCCGGCCCTGAGCCTTCCCGGCGGTGTCTGCTCAGGCGAGTCCTTCATCGCTCTGAGCTCCCGTTTTCCCATCCTCGAAGGGGTCCCCACTGGGCAGGGGCGTTGTGGGGGGTGGACGTTTATAAAGCACGGGGCCCCGTGCCCAGGACTGAGCGAGGGCTCAGGGTGGCTCGTCACTGTCCAGTTATGCCGTCGTTCCTGGCGGCAGGGGGCCTGGGCTCCGCGCTGCCCCTGACCGGTGTCCCTGGCTCCGCAGTCATGTCCACCGTCGGCGGGAACTCGGAAGGCGCCTCCTGCATCTTCCCCTTCACCTTCCTGGGCAAAAAGCACGAGCGCTGCACCAGCGAGGGCCGCGGGGACGGGAAGCTGTGGTGCTCGACCACGGACAGCTACGACGAGGACCGCAAGTGGGGCTTCTGCCCCGACCAAGGTACCGGCTCCGGCCGCCGGGCAGACACGCCGGCACCGCCCCCCACGTCTGGGCGGCAGACCCGCCCGCATCTCCACCCACCCCAGGCTTAGACAGTGCCCCCCACACACCCACTCAGCCTGGCAGAGACGCTGCTCTGGCTGAGGCCCTGCCCATCCGTGGTGGGGGACACTGCCCACCCCAGACCCGCCCATGGCAGAGACTCTGCTCGTTCTTGCTGGATGCGTGCCCATCGGGGCAGAGGCCTGGCCTCTACAATAAGACCCCATCCACCCCGGTACCTCTTTCCTCTGAGACCACCCAAAATGTCACGATGCTGGACTCGGGTGCTCTCCTACGAGGTGTTCCCGCTCCAGCAGACAGCTGCCTCCAAGGAGCTGGGCGGGCGGGACAAGAGAGGGCACAGGAGGCCCTCGTCCTGGCTCCAGCTCCGCCCTCCACGCAGCTCCGGAGAGCCCCAGAGCCCTCCCGGCCCCCGCAGCTCCACCCTTTGCCAAGTTGAGGATGGGGGGTCCTTGTCAGCGCTGCATGCCAAGGACACAGCCGGCCAGCCGAGGCAGCTCTCTGTCCTCCCAGACTCATAGGCCGGGCTGAGAGAGTGACCGAGAGAGGGACCGTGGGGCCAGGGCAGTGAGCAGGGTGACGTGCCCACTCGAGCATGCCAGGCTCAGGGTCGTTGGGCTCACTGATGGCCCAAGGTGGCCAGGCGAGAGGGCTGGTCCAGCGCTGGCCAGAAACAGGCCAGCCTCTCTTGTTACTTTTCTTCCTTTTATTCACAATGAGATGGAACTTGGAGAAAGCCGACAGGCAGCGGCTGACCGGAGGAGTTTTTCTTATCCCTCATCCAGTGCCATGCTAGGACAAATCCCACGGTCATTGGGCTCACTGATGGCCCGAGGTGGCCAGGCGAGAGGGCTGGTCCAGCGCTGGCCAGAAACAGGCCAGCCTCTCTTGTTACTTTTCTTCCTTTTATTCACAATGAGATGGAACTTGGAGAAAGCCGACAGGCAGCGGCTGACCGGAGGAGTTTTTCTTATCCCTCATCCAACGCCATGCTAGGACAAATCCTGATTTTACCTGCTGTGCTCCAGCTTCTGCCTAAACGGGGGATTCTCCCTCCTCCCGAATGGTTTGGGGCTCCGGGCCGGCACGGTGCTCCCGGCCTGTGTAGTAGTCTCCTGGGGCTTTCCCAGCAAAGTTCCCCAAACTGCGTGGCTTAAAACAATGGCAGTTTACTCTCTCGTCCCCCTGGAGGCTCAAAGTCTGAAATCAGGGTTTCTGGTAGGACCACATGGCCTCTGAAGGTTGAGTCACTATCTCCTGCCACTGTCATAACGTGGCCTTTTCTCCTCCGTGTTCGTCTCTGTGCTGCTTCTTACAAGGGAATGAGTGGTATTGGATAAAGGGCTCGCCCTACACCGATATGACCTCGTTTTAACTTACATCTTAATGATCTCTGCAAAGAACCTGTTTCCGGATAAAGTCACCTTTCGTAGGTACTAGGGTTAGGACTTATCTTTTGGGGGGACACAATTCAACCCACAATAGGGTGACATGTAGGGTTTTCCTGCTGTCCTGGGGCAGGCGTGGCAGACCCTTGGGGCCAGCCTGTCCTCACTCTCCTACCTCTTTGGAGACCCTATTTGGAGCAAGTTTTGCCCTGTTCTGTAGAGAGAAACATAAAAAGCCACAAAGCATGATTTTTAACAAACGGGACTTTAGGTAGAGGATTTGCAGACGCTGCTCCTTCTCCTGGAGAGGGACAAGGGGACTTTGGCTGACCCTGTGTGATAAAAATAGGCATAGTCTGTTAATCCTAGAATTCTCAGGAGAAGGAAAAATCAGTATGTGCCTTTTCCAGGACTCTCAGTCCCACTGTGGGATGTCCTCAGAGGTCTCCATCACCAGCGACAGGGCCTGACTCCTCTCTCTCCCTTTCTTTCTGCCCCCCTCCCATCCCTGCGACCCTCAGGATACAGCCTGTTCCTGGTGGCAGCCCATGAGTTTGGCCACGCCATGGGCTTGGAGCACTCAGAGGACCCAGGAGCCCTGATGGCACCCATTTACACCTACACCAAGAACTTCCGCCTGTCCCAGGATGACATCAAGGGCATTCAAGACCTCTACGGTAAGCCTCAGATTAGGGCTGCGGGCAGGGGCTGGGAGTCCATGCAGCCTGGGACGGAGGCCCAGGGGTGACGCCAGCAACGTCTCCTCTCCCCGGGATTGCAGGAAGCAAGGGCAGGAGGCTGGAGTGTCAACCTGCTCTGCGGGGGTCAGAGCAACACTCCAAGGGGACTCTAGGACCGACCGTCCCTTTTCTTTCCAAGTAACGTCAGTGTTCACAGCCCTCTTGGGTCCCCAGCTCCACACTGCCAGGCAGGCTGGGCAGAAAGGGGGTCTCCATCTTCTAGGGGAGTGAACTGAGGCCCGAGAAAGGTAGTCTTTCTGGCTTAGGGTCACCAGTTTTCAGCAACCAAGTTAGGTTTAGAATCCAGGAGGATTAGCCAAACACAGGTTAGGATTTCCCACTGTGTGGAGCGACCTTAATGATACCGGGGCGCATGTTTCTGCTGTTCTTAATGGTTCTTTTATTTTCATGGGTAACAGGAACAGTATAACGAGTCCCTAAGACTGACGACTGGTTTATTATTAGTGCTTGCAGTGAGGCTAGAGTTTAAAAAGTAAGTCCATTAAAAGAGAAAAAGGTATATAATCGTACCTGGACCACGCCAAAACGGTGGACGTGGGCTTGAGCCATGAAGCTGGGGGAACACTGGACTTGGAGAGGCCCCGAGACAGAGTGAGAGGCGCCAGGGTCTAGTTCCACCTCTGCCACTCACCAGCCGCAAGAGCCAGAGCAGGTCTTTACCTCCGTGGACTCGGTTTCCTCGTCTGTGAACCGGGAGTGATTAACATGACATGCGAAGGGCCGTGGGATCCCGAGTTTCCTTCACGGCCCCCTCTCCACGTCCGGGCCTCATCTCCCTCTCTCGCCCGGGCTCACACCGAGGCCAGGCCGGCCGGGCGGCCTTGGGGGCTCGGCCTGGTGGGGAGAAGCCCTGGAGCTGGGAAGAGTCTGAAGTCGGGTGTCCTCCCCCAGGGGTGTCCCCTGACACTGACGCTGGCACTGGCACCGGCCCCACCCCCACGCTGGGACCAGTCACTCCAGAGCTGTGCACACAGGACATCATCTTTGATGGCATCGCTCAGATCCGTGGGGAGATTTTCTTCTTTAAGGACCGGTGAGTGAGTAGCTTGCTGCTTGTCCTTCTTGTCCCTTGCCCCCTGCTCCATCCTCATTATTTGTATGCCCGACCCCCCACCATGCTTGGACCCCACTGGGGACTTCACAGAATGGCCTGTGTAGTAGACAGTTTTTGCTACGTGTCAGACAATTTCCAGATCTCAGTGGTTCACCAACATGGTTATTTCTTTTGCCTTCTTCTAGTCTGTGGGTCTACTAGGTGTCTTGGCTTCGACTTGCAGTGTGAAGTAGCTGTGCTCTGCTGTGAGCTCATTCTCCTGGGATTAGTGGCTCCTCCTGGCAGATGGCAGAAGCACAAGAGGCCAGCTCAGATCACACAGGCACATCTAAAGCCTCCACTCACATCATATCTGAGAATATCCCATCAACTGAAGCAAATCACGTGGCCAAGCCCCAACGCCTACTCCAGGGGGTGGTACTATAGGGTCGCAGGGAAATTGATTGACATAGATGCATATTTCTAAAAAGAGGGATAAAGGGAAGAATTCGAAACAACAATCCAGGCTACCACAGGCCTTCTCCTGGAATGGCCTTGACCTCGAATGGCCAAACTGTTCTATGGATAGGGAGCGAGAAGCCACAGGGCTGAGAAAGGAGGTTTGCTTCATGCTATAAAGGCCCCCCACTCAGTTGACCAAGGGTTGAGACTCACCCCGCTGCCCTAGCAGTCCTGGATAATGGCAGACGGTATTAAGACTGTATCAAGGATCCATCCATCATCCATCTGTACATGCATACATATATACATCTATCCGTCCATCTATCTGTCGTTCATCTATCCATCCATCCGTTATCCATCCGTCCATTATCTATCCATCTGTTATTTATTATCAATTCATCATCATCCGTTTGTCAATTTGTCTATTTATCCATTCATAGAGCATGGTAGTTGACAGAGTGGGTTCTGGAGCCAGATTGCCTGGCTTGGAGTCCTGGACCTGCTACCTCCTGGTTGCTTGATCATGGGCGTGTTAATTATGCATCTTTGTAATTCTTGCACCTCAGTTTCCTCATCTATAAAATGGGGCTAATTTTCTAGCCTATCTCATAGGGCTGTTTTAAGGATGAGATGAGCTTAGTGCTTAGAGCAGTGTCTGACACAGAGTGTCTTCATTCATACTGGCCATTATTATCGACAAGTAACTACTTGGCATCGACTGCGCCAAATACTTCACTAGGCTTTAGGAGCTGGGGGTGGAGGATGATGTGCTGGGAGCAAAGGGGCTGTTTAATGCCCAGGTCAGTGTTCGCAGAGAGATCCATGGGGCCTCTACCCCAGAACCCCCTAGGGTGTACGTGCCGAAAGTGGGTTTTCACTCCCACCCCCAGGCCTTCCAACTGGAACCTCTGGGAGTGGGCCCCAGGAATCTGCATTTCAGCAAATCCCCCTGATGACTCTGAGGCACATGAAAGTTTGAGCCTCACCAGTCTGGTTTGGGAAACAGGCAGAGAGAACTGCCAGTAATATGTGGCAGAATGAAGGCATCGTGGTTGCAGAGGCTTTACCAGAACGCGTCCGATCAGGGAGGCTCCACGGGTAAGGCAGCACTTGAGACGCCCTTTAAGGAGGAGCCGGTTTGGATGAACAGTGATGGGGCTGACAGGCTGGGAGGGTGTTTGAGCCACAGAGATGTGAAAGTTCCTGGCTTAGACGGGGAGAAACAGAGAGCCTGGCAAGGCTGGAAGATGCTGCATCAAGTTTTGCAGAGGGCCCCTCTCTGCTGCCAGCACTGGGCCGGGTGCTGGGGCACAGGCGCCTGCAGGGCGATGCCAAGAATGGAGACTCCAAACGCAATGCGAAGTCAGGTACTGTCAGTCCTCGAATGACCAACCCAGGATGTAACAACGATGTTTATGCTCTCCTGCAGCCTCCATTACGGGGGGGCAGGGGAAGAGGTAAATCTAGGGCCCCGCTTCCCAGCGCCGTCTTGGCCTGGGGCACTTCCCACGGAGGAAGGCCCCAACCGCACCTGCTCATCCGAGATGCGCGGACTAGAACGGGTTGCAGAGCCCAGGCCCTGAGGGGAGGCATCCTTGGCCTGATCCATCACACTTTCAAAAGGAAGTCGATGAGCGTTTAATGGGGTCCTTGAATTACGTGGCAAATATTTAAGCACCAATCATGTGTGAAAATTGGTGCTAGGCACTGGAGGGGGCATGAGAAAGGCAGTACTGCAGGATGATTCAGCTCGTCCTTCGGAATCGGCTGTGGGTGCAAATCCTGGGAACCAATCTGAGCTTCATTTGCCAAATAAGGATTGTGATACCTTCCGATACTAGGATGTTTTAGCTGCAAGTATCAGAGAGCCCCGACTCAAACGAGCTTAAACAATGGTGAGAAATTGCTCTCACGTGGTATGAAGTCCAGGATTATGGCTGCCTCCAGGGACAGAAAGAGGGCCAGTGACTTAATGATAACTTTACCCAGTGCTGTCCTCTGCACTGACTTCATCCTAAGGCTGGATGGGTTCCTCATGGTCACAAGCTAGGGCTATTGGCTTCCTTGTCCACATCCAACAGGAGAAAGAGAGAAAGAGAGAAAGAGAGATCTCCACATATGAAATACAAGTCTGTCTCTTCCATGTCGTTGTGCCAACATAAATCACGTGACCACTGCTGAATCAATAGCAGTTGCCAGGGAATGCTAAAGCTCTGATAAGCTTAGACCAGTGGTTCTAAAACTGTGGCATGCATTAAAATAATTAGGAAGGCTTGTTAAAATGCAGATTACTGGATCCCAAGCCCAGAGAGTCTGATCCGCAGGTCTTGGGATGGGGGGGGGCGGCAATAATTTACATTTCTAAGGAGTTCTCAGGTGATGGTCTGGGGATCACACTTTGAGAACCAGTGGCTTAAACTAACCAGAATGGGGGTTGAGTCCACCTGAGGGCAGGATGAATCATAAATGTGGGGGTTCCGTAAGGAAAGATGATAGAGAAATGAATAGATAATAGATGCTGGATAGACCACTGAGAGCACAGGTTGTACAATATTGTGAGGATACATTTTACAAAACATAAAGTGTTGGTACTTAGTAGGCGCTCAATAAACAATAACCCTTAGTCTTGCCACAGTATACAAATCCATTCTATTTCAATTCAGGGAATGCTTTTGAGTGCCACCAGCCTCTGCCTCAGTTGGCTTCCAATCTAGTAGAAGAGATAAGACATTTAAAAATATAGTCTAACAACTTTTCTAGGCACTCGGTGTTGATGATTTCGAGAGGCTCGGAGAATGGGGAATCCAGTAAGGACAGAGATAGTTAGGAAGGCTTCCCGGACAAGGGAGCAAGAGGGGGAGCAAAGAGGTCGCTCCCCAGTTTGGCAGCTGGCAGAGGGGCCTGTGTCCATTCTACAGTCCTTCTCCAGCCCTCCTTTGATCTTTCTTCCCCCCTCCCGGGCGTGATGGCCGGATGTCTCTGAATGGACTTGGGGAGGCACGTGTGGTTACAACTGCAGGGTGACTGAAGGTGTGGTTTCTGGTGTCCCCTTCCTCCCTTCAGGTTCATTTGGCGGACAGTGACACCACAGAACAAGCCCATGGGGCCCCTACTGGTGGCCACATTCTGGCCTGAGCTCCCAGAAAAGATCGATGCTGTGTACGAAGCCCCACAGGAGGAGAAGGCTGTGTTCTTTGCAGGTCTGTGGGAAGGGTCCTGCCTGGCCCTCGGCTCAACAGGGCTCATCACCACGGTCCCTGTGTGCCCATGGGTGCTCCCTTGCTTTACAGACCCATTTTTTCCAACCATCATTTCTCATCTGAGAGCAGCATCACATAGCATTGGCCCACAAAGCGAACATTTCATTACCTTTTTAATTCTTTTGGTTCCTTTTTTAGAAGGAAAATTGCGGTTTAGTGCTGGGGTCTCTTCACACTTTTCTAATGCTAGAGCCTATGGCAGGCGACAATTTTATTTAGCATTTTTAAAAACCCAATTCGTTTCATTTTTAAATTTTAAAATACACTATTTCTAAAGATTTTTAAGTGAATTCCTTGAAAGCAAAATATTAAGTAAATAATTGTACAAGGAGTCTCTATAAGGGATAAAAACCCTTCAGGGTAGGGTTACATAGCTGACATTTGGGAAACCCCGTTCATTCAACCTTTATTCCAGCCCCTGCCATGTGCCAGGGACCCAGCCTCTGCCCTCATGGAGCTTACAAACTAGTGGGGGAGACAGAAGACCAGGCTGTTTAAGAGGGGGAGCGCAGCAAGGGCTATGATTCGAGAGGGAGGACCAGCAGAGTCCCTGCCAGTCTGAGCTGGGGTCACAGGGGTGGCTTCCTGGTGCAGCCGAAGGCTCGGCCAACACTGGGGATGCATGTTCCAGCAGCCAGCTCCCCATTTCCTGCTACCCAGAACAATCATGGGTTGTGGCTGGGGCAGTACTTTGTGCAAATTAGAAAAAGGTGCCTCCTCGTGGCAGGCGTGGCACTTCGCGGGCATGGCTTGGTGAGTAGAGCTAGAGCCAGACTCATCCCCCACTCCCCTCCCGGGCCAGGCTCCAATTGTAACCAGTTGTAAAACCGTGTACAGATCTGGGGGTTCTGAATGTGGACGTGAGCAGGGACTCGTGTCCTCGTTAAGAATAGCTATAGACAGTGGGAAGAACAGGCTGACCTGGGGCATTTCAGCATCCGTCACCAAACACCCTTTGCTTCCACCCCAGGGAATGAATACTGGGTCTATTCAGCCAGTACCCTGGAGCGAGGGTACCCCAAGCCGCTGACCAGCCTGGGGCTGCCTCCTGATGTTGAACGCGTGGATGCCGCCTTCAACTGGAGCAAGAATAAGAAGACATACATCTTTGCTGGAGACAAGTTCTGGAGGTAAGGGAGGGCGGAGGGAGGGATGCAGCACATTGGGCTTCGTGCCTCCTGGGTCAAGTTCAGAGGCAGGTGGGCCACGGACACCCCGTCTCTGGTCTCTAACTTGCCGGGTCTGCAGCCCCTTTGAGAAGTCACCGGAGAATGACATTACTGGCACAGTTCCAGTTAGAACCTCCTTTCCCTTCTCAGAAGTTTTTTGATTGGGCCCATGTCTGTCTGTTCTTGAGCTTCCCAAATTGAGGTGACTCCCTGAAGATGGGGGTCATCGAAATAAAGACAACAGCTGCTACTACTGATGTTATGTGTCAGACACTATTCCAAGGGCTTATTTGGTGGATATTAAAGATGATTATTCCCATTTTATAGGTGTGGACACTTAGTTTCAGAGAGGTTATGTATCTAGCTTAAAGCCAGATAATGGTGGGCTGGGATTTGAACCCTGGAATTCTGGCTCTCAGAGAATATGCTGTTCTTCACTCTTCTACATTGTACCTGAGATAGTGGGGTCTCAAGAAAGGGGGGTGATAGAGGCATCTAAAGGGAAGGATTCAATTTTGCGAAGCCATGGTCAGGGCTAAGGGTCAGGGAGCCCAGTATCCAGGAATGGCCAGTGAGAAGCAGCCCAGACCTCAGGGGTTTGATTAAAATGCTTTGTTTTTCCCAGCTAAGGAAACTGTGGTCCAAAGAAATTAAATAACGTGTGTAGGTTATTTATACGCAAGTATGTTGACCAGTGAGCCAGGATCGGAACTGTTTCCTGTCCTCTAACCCTGGCCCCCTCTCCGGTACCCTTCGGTCAGTGGAGAAGAGGTGGTTGGGTATCTTCAGCCACCCTTCCTCCGAGTGTCCCCGCTGCCACTGCATCCGGGCCCTTTGTCGCCCCTGAATTGATCCTGCTTCCTTCCCAAGGCCCCTTCCTTCTCCCCCTTTCTCCTCCTACCACGCCTGCCCCCCACTGCCCTGCATTCAGAAGCTGCTTGTCTCCCAGGCTGCCCGTGTCAAGGTGGAATTGTAGACGTATTACTAAGATACTTAGCAACTTAAGCTGATCGACAGCTCAAGCCTCACGAAGGAACTGAGTCAGCTAGGAATCCAGGGGGCGGGCTCGCCGCCCACGGGCTCTGGAACTGTCCCAGGCCTGTGCGTGCACTGCGAATGGCAGTTGCTCCGAGTCTCCAAATCTTAGGATGCGGACAGCGAGAGGCACAGACCCACAGAGACATGAAACTTAAAATCATAGAACCCTGGTGTCTGCATCAGGTGCAGGAAGGACTTTTATAATCACCCTCCAACACATTCTGCGTATGTAAACATGCAGGAACAGACGTGGCCACGTGTGAATATCAGTTTCACACCTATGTGTGCGCATGCACACACACACACACACACACATACACACACACACGCGCACACACACGCTCGGGCTGCAGCGGTGATTTGCTGGGTTTCCGGCAGTTAATCTGCCTTCCAGTCCTTTTCTGAAACAAGTTCACCTCCCAGAGCCAGGGGCCAGGATGGACAGCTTACTCTGTAGAGGAAGCTCCGTGAAACTTCCTCAAAAGCGGCAGAGCTGCAGGGCCTGTCAGAAGTTCTGGGCTGGGTTTCCAAAAGGCAACCTAGGTTCCCTCCCAGGAGAGATGGTTAATGTACTTGAGACATTGGTTCTGGTGCAGAGTCTGCAGGGGCCTCAGAGATGACCTTGCTGGAGACAGAGAGATCCCCATGGTTAATGTACTTGAGACATTGGTCCTGGTGGAGCGTCTGCAGGGGCCTCAGAGATGACCTTGCTGGAGACAGAGAGATCCCCACATTGACAGCAAGAGCAGCTGCCCCCAGCCTGGGATTCCCCTAGTTCATGCCAGGGAGTGCTCAGCCCCTGCTTCTGAAAACTTCCACTAAGCCTTGAAATACTATTCAATATCTCCTATGTGTCAGGCACTTAGGTGCTGGAAGACAGTGGTTAAGAAATAGTCACTTCTGTCTTATGGAGTTTACGGTAGATTGTGGGGAAGAGATATAAACACATTAGAATAAAATAAAGCTAGCTCTCATGATGAGCCCCGTACTGTATTCCAGGCCTGGGGCTTGAGGCTGTGCATGTCACCTGCATTTTCGAGTTAAGGTGGATACTGTTATTAGCCCCGTTTTCCAGGCTGATGTGCCTCAGGAATGTACCTGTGGAAAAGTGAGTTAAGATGGATACTGTTATTAGCCCCATTTTTCCAGGTGTGGAACCTGAGGCTGATGTGCCTCAGGAATGTACCTGTGGAAAAGCTGGGATGTAAATTGTGTTCTTAACACCCGCTTTCTGCTGCAGTTAATGCAGTCAGAGGAGAAACACAGAGTGTCGCGGAGAAAACTTTAAAAACGGTGTGCCAGTGAGCGGAAAACTCTGTAGGAGGAGACTGGGGACAGAGAGGAAAGTGAAGAGAGATGGTCCCTTTCAGAGCCAGCATCTTCTGGTACCACAATGCCATGTTCTTCCTGGAAGAAAAGAACTTGGAAGCAAATTGATTCACTTCTCTGAGCCTCAGTTTCCTCGTCTGTAAAATGGGGTTGATTCCTGCCCTCCCTACTTTCCGTAGGTAGAGAAAGAAAGGAGAGCGAGTTCAAGGACACCTAGCTCTGAGCTGTCATCACTTTAGGGAATGTCGTTTGTGAGGTCTATGGAAGTGATGTATGTGGAATGCTGGGGATTCGAGCTGGGATACTTGACTTGGGTACCTCGGGTCATGAAGAAGCACGTTAGGTTTGGCAAGAAGTCTTATGAAGCAGCCGGGATTAAGGAAAGCTTTTCCGGCTATTCTCAGGGTATTTGGCAGAGAAGAACAACCCCTGTAGAAGGCCTCTCAGAGGGGAAGCTGTTGTTGGCATCTGGGGTGGAGGTGGTAGGGCTGGGCATGGGGAAGAAGTCACCTGTGAGGCACTGTACAGGAATGCTTGGCTGTCACCAAGATGTCATTCAAATAGAGATTTGTCTAGCAAATCAGCACCACAAAAGCAAGATGTTATCTTGTTTACTGCAATATCCACAGGCATGGGCTGGGATCTCATTAAAAATTTATAGAATAATGAATAGGTTGAGTGTAAGGAGAGAATCAAAATGACCGCAGCATGTAAAAAGTTCTCCAAAAAAATGTCAAAGACAGAGGCGTCGCTAGCCAGGAAGAAGAATATGCCAACCAATACTCGAATTAAAGGCAGAGCCCGGGATAACTACACAGCCAGGGCAGAGAGGGGCGAGAGGTCTGTCCTGTGACTAACAGGAGGGCTTGGACTCAGTGCCCCACTTTGCACGGTAACCTCGCTGTCCCGCTGAAATCATTATCCAGGATGTGGACCGTCATCTCCAGATGAAAAAGCAGCAGTTTGTTCAAGCCACCCAGGGAAAGGATGATGGGGGGGGGGCCCGTCCTTGGACGTCTAGCTCAGTGCTCCACACTCTGCAGTAGGGAGTAAAGTTGGTGAAGGAGCTGATATTTCTCAAATACCCACCAAGTACAAGACACGGGGAGAGGCACATTTGCATATGTTATTTTATGTCGTAGATACATTAATTAATGCATTAAATTAAATAGAACCCCATCTTCCATCTGGTGAAACAGACTCTGAGAATATCTGCAGCCCTGGAGCCAGAGAAGCCTGGGTGGGTGTGATTACCACTTAGAAGCTGGGTGCCATTTTTAAGGTGTCTGGTCTGTAACATGAGTAATATGGTAATAGGCCTATGGTATCATTGGATTGTCATAATAATTGAAAAAGTTAATGAAAAGTGGTTAACATGCTGCTTAAATGTTAGCAGTAATCACAAGATTGTTTTTATGGGACTGTAAAGGTCATATAATTAGCGAGTGGTGGAGTTGGGATTCAGACCCAGTTCCGATAGCGTGTCTTCCCACTCCAGCTGGCTGCCACCCTGAAGGGCTAGGTCTGCTTTCCCAGGCCCACCCACGAGCCATCAGCTGGGCCCTCCCATCCAGGTCCGGAGAGGGGTGGCCTTTACGGAGGCCCCACTGGTTCACCATGTCCGGTTCCTTGCAGATACAATGAGGTGAAGAAGAAAATGGATCCTGGCTTCCCCAAGCTCATCGCAGACTCCTGGACTGCTGTCCCCGATAACCTGGACGCCGTGGTGGACCTGCAAGGTGGCGGTAAGCTGCCCAGGCCTCTGTCCGCTTCTTAAGACTCCCCACCCCCAGCCAGGGCCCAGCTCCTGCGAGCACAAACTCCCTCATTGTGCAGAGAGGTATGTGCCGGCTGGGAAAACAAACCAGCCCCTTCAGCCCAGTGCTGGGAAGGCATCCAGACCCCTGACCTCTGCTCACTCAGCAGGCTCCAGGCAGTAAGACCCAAAGAGGCCCCTCACAGCTACAGGGCCTGGAGCCAGGGAGGTGGGGCGCAGGAGGCCTGCAGGGGGCGAGGAACGAGAGCTCTGTGCCCTGGATTCATTCTGGGGTTTGATCCAGGCCCTTTTGGGTTCCACAGGAAGCCTTGTGTCTACCTCCCATTAGTAGATGGATGGCTCCATTTGAGACAGGACAAACTTTGCCATGCCTTCTTGCTGATGTGGCAGAGATCCTCAGTCTTCCCCTGGTCCCTTACTGAGTAAAACGACCAGCATCATCGAGAGATAGAATTTGGAGTTTGAAAACCATATTCCTGAAATCTTATGTGAGCTCTCTAGGGCCCTGGAAACAGTCTCGTTTGGCCTTTTAGCGGAGAATTTAATTCAGTTCCACAAAGATTTTTTTTTTTTCCTTTGAGCCCTTATTAGATGCTGGTTAAGCACATGCCCCCGACCTCCAGTGGCTAAAGGTCTTACATGTCCAACAAAAATCAGTGTGCAATCAGGTGCTCGGTTAAGGATTATCTTCAGGAATAAACACTGTTGAGCACCTACTATGTGCCAGGATTTTAAAGGAAGTAAACAAGATCAGCTATGTTAGGAGTCAAATTTCGTAGCCCATAGAGGCCAAGCCAGTAGCACAAAAGAGTGAAGTGGGCAAGGCAGACAGTAGGGAGTGGTGGGGTCTGTGGTGAACCAGAGAGCACGCGGCTCATTTACAGGGGACAGTTGCTTCTCTGCTCGATGATTGCTGCCCTCCTAGAGCAGGATCCAGTGTTGCTGGATGTTCTATCTCTTTTTAAAAAGGAAGCAAAACATCTGTATTTTCATGTGACATTTCCACATGTGTACATTTTGGCAACTTCTTCAGCATTCAAAACAAAACAAAAAACGCGTGTGAGCCAAATAAAACCTGTGTGTGAGCCAAATAAAACCCGTGCGTGAGCCAAATAAAACCCATCTGTGAGCCAATAGGATGAGCGGCCTCCTGGTTTGCTGCCTCCGTACGTGGAAAGCGTTTAGTTCGGTGATTGCGCTCAGTGGAGTACTGTTATTTATATTAATAATAGCATATATTATCTAACTTCATCCTCACCACAAGCCCTAAGAGGTTGGTATCTTTATCCTCATCTTAAAGATGAAGAAACAGGGACTCAGAGAGCTTACTTCCACAACCATTTCTTCTTCCAGCCTTGAAGGATCCCTCTCTGGTTTTAAAGCCTCTTGCCTATGGCAGACAGTCTTCCAAAGTTCCCAAGAATATTCCACGTGCCAGAATGTCTGAGGGTGGGGTGGTTACAGCCTCTCCTCTTTCTCATCCCAGGTCATAGCTATTTCTTCAAGGGCGCGTTTTATCTGAAGCTGGAGAAGC